GGATAAACGTCCGTCTCGTTGTCGAGCTCTACCGCCCGTGACCGATAAAACCTTTGCCCGGCGGATCATCCCGAGTCGGACGGAAAGTCGGAAGATGGAAGGAGAGCCACTTGGAAGTTCTTCGGGCGCAACCAACGAATGTCACACCCTCGTTTCCCGGGAATTTCAACGAAACTGGTGCGCGGCAAAGAACCTGGAAGCGGAAGGAAAACGTAACACGGAGCGGGAATGGTGGCGCGAGATAAAAACAAAAGTATGCCGGACGATTATCGTTATCATCGATGGCCAACGACGCTACCAATCACGGTGGCTCGGGGTATCGGCGTACAAGTGCGAGACCGCGATACCCGGGTATTAGAGATATTTCTTCGATAGGACCGCGCGCGACGTGTGGCAGACGGGGAGAGAAGAGGAGGTAAAAGAAAAGATTGAGAAAAGAGGGAGCGGAAAGGTTGAAAGATGCGAGGCTTGAGAAGACGACGATGCAGAAGCCCGAGGACTGTCGGAGCGACGATACGATCTGATAGCCTATTTATCATTCGTCGGGTTTACCTTCGCAACACTCTTCGTTTAGTTTTCATGGTGTCTTTACCTGGACGATCTTTGCCTCGTTCGCGAATAGTCTTGGAGCGAAACCGAGCGAGCGTACAGTTGGCTCGTCGAACGCATCGATGGCAAAACTCGCAATGAATTCGCGTATACTTTCATCGTGACTTACGGCCGGGGCCGCTGGTTCGCGCGATGAATACGCCACTGATACCAGCAGAAGGAAAGGGAGACTGTGAGAAGGATATATGTTTGACGACTGGACCCGATTGTATCGCATAGGTGAGCACGGTTCGTCCAATGGCAGATCGGTATCGCGGTTCTTAACGGATTTACGACCCGCCTTATCTCTCAAAGGTACCGACGACCACGCACCGCGATCACTCGGATGCTATCGCTTAACGATTTCGTTCTGGACTTTACCTGCGCTCAATGCAACGATTGTCCGACTGTTAAGGAGGAGCGCGCGCGCGACGACTCGCCGGAAACGATATCGTTTAGATACCCGAGATCGGTTCTCGCTACTAACGTTTCATTCGACCTTCTTTCGAACACGGAAATGGTGACCCGAGAGACGAGGTCGTCTCTGGACGAATCAAATGTTTCGCTAAACTATCGGAGACGCGTCGTTCGTAATACATTGTGCTCGGATTAAAGCGAGAATTCTTAGTCCGACCGTTCCATGGAACCCTGCAGGCACGACGCGGATATCGCGCTACTCACGAGCTAACCGAGCGTAGATTTTCGAAATTGCCACGATTTCGTGCGTTGTCTCTCCCACGAGAAGGAAGAACACGGCGCCAAAGGACGGAGGATCGATACGAGGAAGTCGTCTCGTTACCCGGTAATAGCCGGCATCGGGAACGTGCGAACGAGCTAGGAAGACGAGTCGCGGCGGCGATCTCTCCGGCTGCTCGTGCGCGATATCACGCGAGCGAACTTCCGTCTCACGGGCGAAAGCTCAGCTCCACGGATACCGATCGGAGACGGCAGAACCGCGCATTATAGCGCATTACACGCCGCGTATGTACTCGAACGGTACCTCGTGTAATCGGCATCGTTTACGCCGACGGGCCCATCGTCGATTAATATACAGCGAGTCTCGTCGATTTAAGTTGGACCAATCGGTTCGAGTTCGAGGTGACGGATCGTTCTAGTCGAGGTAGTGTATTCTTAAGGGTGGTACCGTACGTGCATTTATTAAAAAATCGTGGGAGTACTAGACTCTGTGCAAATCGACTGGAAGCTACGGAAAGAGGAGCTGGCTCCACGCTAGACTGGTAACGTTGTAGCCACCGAATGCTCCGTCGGAAATTTACATATCGCGCATGTCGTACTTGTCTCGGATCGTTTGCCTGCACTGGCTCGAATTACCGCGAAAACCGGGGGTGCCTGGTAGTTCGCCGTGAAACATACCGCCAGGGAGATGCCTCGATAACACGCACGCACGCACGCACGCACGTACATGCATCGAACGCCTATCTAGTTTTTTGTTTCGTCGTAAACGGAACGCTCCGTGCACGCTGGGAAAGCTACGGATGCGAGCTCGACCGTGAGGGGGTGGAAGTTACCGGGCAATCGAGGAGAGTCTTGGAGTCTCGCTGCGTACACGGCTCGCGTATCGTTGGCTCCCGGTAATGTCTCAGACGTTGCAGCTTCGCGTAATAACGTTCGATACGGAACGACGACGCCGTTCCGGGAGCACAGGATTCGCGTAGACGCGGCTTCGGTAATGAAATGACTCGTTCGAGTATAATTCGCTCGTAAAGTAAACGTGATATCGAGGACAGAATAATAACGAAGGTTGCGAGAGTCACGGTAGCGGTACGGTTGCATGACACGGACACGCGGAGATTGTTGCCCGTGGCTCGCGACTGCTGCCAGTCGAGGTAAACACACTTTTCTCACCTGGAATGTTCTCTCGCGGGATGTTTAGCATTCAACCGGGACCAGGTGATGTCACCCTGTACAATCGTTAGCGCGACGTACGTCTCCTTTCGCAAAGGTTATTTCTGAATCTTCGCGGCCAGGTACATCGATCAGCATTTACAGATTTCCCACGTACGGTATCGCACTCACCTGCTGCGTTAGCAGCTGTCTGTTGCCTTAACGATGCTGCGAGGACAGGTAGCGAACGAGAGTACCCCGTTAAACTATCGAGTTTATCGTTCAGATCGTAAAATCCCGCCGCGAGTATCTTCACGGAGTCCTGATTCCGCCGTCAGGCTCCGACAGGATGAATTGTGTTCGAGGCCCGAAATTCTCCTGGCTCCCTCTTTCTTTATCATTATCCCCGCACCCGAAATAAACCGTGGCTTGACTTTTATCGAAGCTCGCGCTCAGCCCGATTCTCTCGCCGACGGACTCGCACGCGATTTATTATCTCGGGTAGCTCCTCGAGATCGAGATCGAAGTCCGTGCCCGGGAACCCGTTGATTCCGTACACGTGTCCGCGTGTAGCCCACAACACCTGACGATCGAGCCAAGTAACGGCCGAAGTCTGCCGTGAATTTTTATCCACGGATGCGTGAATTTTCGTGAGAAAGTTTCACCCGATCCGTACGTTGCCGGACATCTGCGCCAGCGGTCGACGACAGAAACGAGACGCGTCGTTTGTCCACGATATATTCGTCGCCGCGGATTTCGTAAACCTCGGCCAGACACCCTTAAGATTATCCCGTAAAGTGGTCCGTTTCTTGATCGTTGCGGTCGATCTCAGTCGTTCTCGCTTTGGGCAAACTTAACTTTATTTGAAAAAGTAAAATACATTTTACTCGCACCGATCATCGGGAACATCAAGCTGGAGTCCGTCAGCGTCCGTCGTGGCACTTTTTGTATCGCGCGACGCGAACAACGAGGATCTGTCGTCGAGAGACTCGAGCGTCGTTGATAGATCGCGTTAACAGCTAAAGAATTACTCGAGCGACATCAACCTTATTTCGATACGACGCTATTACCTCGTATTGAATCGGAATACAAAACAGTTCGCGCGATCCAAATTAATTTGTCGTGAATCGTCGACGATAGGCGAGGGTGTCTCGACGCGGATCTGTGGAAGGGCCAATAATTTCGTCGGTTTCCGGAGATCTCGAGCGTAATTTAACCGAGTGCCTAAAGCGGCAGCTGTGCCTCGACGATGGCGAACGCGGGACCACGGAGTCACGATAAACTCTCATAATTCACTTAGGCGATATCCTGGACCGTATAAACCCGTCGCTTAAGCGCGCGCCGGGAAATTCTCTATTGAATGCGAATGCCCGTTTCATAACATTTGTATACGCGCGTATACGATTATTCATACACCCGAGCATTGTACGTGCTCACGCGGATCTATCATGCGTCGTAATATTCGCCGAGACGGACAACGGATGGAAAGTTTGATACTCCGCGGAGGCAGCAGAGTAATGACTTTCGCTCGCGTAAAATTACTCGCGGAAACCTTCGAGAAGGAAGTTGTAAAAATCGTAGGAAAAGCTCCGCCGTAATAATGCCGGACGATAAATAATAAGCTACGATAAAGCGGAATTAAGTTTGCCGCGCTAATACAGGCACGCCTATAAAAACCGCGGAGGCCTGGGTATTAGCTTGGATGCGCGTGTGATTAGCGGCATTACAAGTTCCGAAGTGATTTTCAACGTGCAAAACGGTATATCTTCTTAAATGTTCACGTAGAATTTAAAGCACAGGGTTCGAAGGCGTAATGCGCGAGTATAATCCAATCGTACGGTACCGAGATCGGTATGTACATAGATTCGACGATCAGCGCGCACGTAATGGTTCCATAATCGCGTAGACCAGTGGTTTTCAAACTCTTCGAAAGACGTCTCTTAAAATAGAAAGAAGATACGTGGACCTCGAGACGCGTTGTTATCCGTAGTCTAATTACGAACTGTTTCGGAGCACGGTGCGCGCGACGTGCAATCTGGAATCGACTATGGTCGGTGACGGTGGCAATGGTGCGGTGATCGCACAATAGATTCGGTTTGATGCAGTGCCAGAGCGCAGGAGACCGTTAATTTCGTAGCTTCGTGGTATCGCGACGGTCCCGCGCACGGATTCCCGTTCTCCGTCAAACGTCGTTCGCGTTAATAATTCATCCAAGTAAATAATAGCATTTGCCAAGGCACAGCAGAGGAACGCCGCTGGTCCCAGTTTGTCACTACCGAGATTCGGTCGCATCGATCGATTTCTCACGTTAATGCGTGTCCTGTTTATCTCGTTGATACGTCTCGGTCCAATGATCTATTATCGCGAATTTGTCAAACGGAGAGTAGGAACGGAAAATTGAACGGTCGTTACGGATGATTCTAAATGTAACTTTATGTAAATCTTACTTAAGTATTCAGGATCAAGATCACTGTTATCGCCTGTAATCACGCCCACGGTCTACTTGCACGTCCATCGTGTTCACAGAAATATTGATGCTCACCCTGGTGTCGACGCGTTTGTTCCAGAAACAATGCCAACGTCGACGTCCCGCCCGCGGCGCCCGTCCAGAAGAAAGAGCCACACGAAAACATCGCCCGGATAGCGAAGCGGTATCTCGACGATAACATGCAGCAGGCGTGGATCAATCCTCGTCTAATATCGATGGTGAGTGAATATAAATGCACCGATTACACGGTACGTTAGGCGAACCTTGTACCCAACCTTCTCACGTTCCCGTCGCGCTGTCTGTTATCCTTCTCGGTGGCCCACCCAGTCGCACCTAGGGTGCACGAGTGCGATTGCAATCCTCCCTTAGCTATAAACATCCATTTTTTTTTCAACCATTGAATATAATTTTCAGTTGCATCCTCTAGTTAAATTTCTAGGTGCGCCACTGATCCTTTTGGAGCGTAGGCTGGCGCGGAGCTGCAATTTAGCCAAGTTTTAACAAATATATTGTTGCGCCGGGGAGTTGAGCAGCTTAGTGTATTCATTTTATATAAATCAGGATTTACAAACGAAGAAGAACATAAAGCTTTATTTACAGTGGAACAAGAATATCGGTAAATCCGATTGGTGCAATGTCTATCGTAAAACTGACTACTCAAAACAGATGCCGGTTCTCGAACGGCAACCGGAACAACGGGACCTCGCTTACGATTATTTAACGGAGCAGCTTCACCTCGTTTTAACGATGCAACTTCGAAATATTTAGCGACATCTTCACACCGTCGCAATGATATATTGTATGATTGCATGTGAAAATATGCAGTATACATTGCAATCTGGAATATCAGGAATGCATACGTTATCGTCAAGTCCGAAAGGGTTAACTTGGCCGACGGAAAACTATAGAATGTCCGGGGAATTAAATGGCAATACCACGGCGAATTTTCGAGAGCCGTGCTTTCGGTATAGCGCGCTGATTCTATTCGTTCGCGTTGAATTTCGTCGCCCCCGTCTTCCCTTCGTCTTTCGTGTGGAATTTTGTTGAATTTCGTGTTCTCCGGTGCTCCCTCTCTGGACATCTACTCCAGGATTTCGTTTATTAATCCAGACTGCTGTCTCGCACCTCCATTTCTCCATCTGCACGGACCCTTTAACGTCCCCCTGGAAACGTTTAAACGCTCGCGTAGATAGGCGGTTGAGAATAACGAGTAGTAGGCGTTTGGAATATTGCACGAATAAAACTCGCCTCGAGTCGGCCGAGCGGGCGTCGAGCTTCTCATTAAAGTCGCATGACTAGTCTGGTAGTATGTCGGACTGAACGGGTCCCAGGATTAAGACGTGCACTGCCGAGACGTCAAATCGCTCGCGTGCACCTTGTAACACGTTTATTCCATCCTTTGCTTTGCCGATTCGCCTTTGCTTGTTCTAATTAAGCGTTGCGGTCGATCAATCTGGGGGACAGCTACGCGAAGTCTACCGAAAACTACTCGCTACTTTTGTTTTCATTGCCAACGTGGCTATTCGCCCTAAACTTAGGGGGTGACCCAACGTACTCGTGCCAGAGTTAACACCACGGTTTCTTGCTTTATTCATATCGGATCGCGAGCCGCGTTAAATCATTCGGCAGACCGTGTGTTATGCACCCCTGGTACATAGGATTAATCGAGCGACTACACTCAACCTTCCGCCTATAGACTCGCGAGGGTGGAGAAATAGCCAATAGGAAGTAATTTATTAGTCGCGCGATGTGGATGTATCGCGCGGGGATCTCGCGGAAAGGCCGGAAAGGCGAATGAAAAAATCAATCGATCGAATATTCGGTGGAAAATTCGGTGGAACGTTGGCGTTTCGCATCGGCGAGCCGTCCAACGTTTCAACGTTCTCGTTGGACGCGCTGCGCGGTTGTTCGCGGCTAGTTATTGAAATTCCGCCTTGCCCGTTCCATTTTGTATGCGATATATTCGGATCACGACGCGCACCATACGCCACAGCTCGCCGAGCCGTGTTATATCGGCGTTCACGGCAGATTGGCATTCGCGCGGCAGACTTGGTTGCAGACAGGTAGAACGAGCGGGACGAGTCATTAAGCGAACCAATAACAAACTCGTGATCCACATAACCCTTCGTTATGTTCGCGGCTGCTATTAGTTCATGCGAGGCGGCAATCATCGCTGGCAGGTACGACGAGTCGTTTCGTAACGGCCCAGTCGTGCGAACTCGTTATTTTCTTTCCTTCCTGCCCTCGCCCCGGAGATTCCCTCCTCTCCTTCGTCGCTTCTCTTTTCTTTTACGTTCTGGCTCCACCTTGTCGCGACCTTACGTAACATCTTCGATGCGTTTCCCTCCTCCGCGATGGATAATTCGACCTGCCGGCGCTCGCACACCTGCGTGCTCCGTACAATGGCGTAATCGGTCGTGGTCTCCTCTTTTCGATTCGAGCTGTTTCGAGCATTTTTTCGCAAACGGACCTCCGAGGGTTAAACTTCGATACCGGAAGATAACGTTGACGTCACCATCGGAAAAAGGGAGGGTGTAGCAGTGCATCGTTTTTACGAACAAAGTCACTCGTTACCGAGATATCTCGTCGATGTCAGTCGACGAGTAACGAAATAACCAATGTCGTTCTCTTCGTATCTATTCGATACGCTGTCCTGTATTTGTCAAATCAGTTAAGACGGTTTCTGTTTGCCCCTAGCGAGCCTGTCTCGCAGTTACGCTACTGCCTCGCGCACTTGTGCGCGCGCGTGTTCACCAGCCCCGACAGGATTTACGATCGTTCCACGTTACTTATAGCTGGCGGCTTTATTAGCATGATCGGTCGCTCGGAGGATAGATTACCCCGTGAAACCGGATCATCCTTCGGCCGGCAATCCGATCGTCCGGCGGCTACGTGCCTCGGAAGGACTCGTTCCGAGGCGTACACGACAGTAGTCCTCTTCCGCCAGGACACGAGGCCGACGATGCCATTTGTAATTTGCTACGAGGGTGCCTCGTTACGACCGGTTCTAAATTCCTACGGTTGCCCGTTGTCGCGACCACCTCGCGTTCTCTTCTCCGATCGATCCACGTACGAATCTTCCAAACACGATTTCCGCCTCATTCCGCGCACGTGAACGCGTAGGTTTATCGCCAAGTTCGTAGAGACATTGTCTCGTTAATCGCAACCCGTTGGCGAACGAATTTGGAAGAGACGAACCGTTCGAAAGGCCGTATTATAGCGCAGAGTTGTTGGCCGCTGTTTCGCGATTCTTCGCGGGCCAAGGATGCCGATGCGGTAATGCAGAAATAAATCACAAATCCCTCGGCTACCGAAGTTTCGACGCTTCCGATGGTAAAAGCGGGGTCGCAGGGAACGATATATATTTGCTCGGACGATTAATAGCGCGGCGAGGAAAGTTAATTAAGGAACGGACGAAACAAGATTCATTCCCGAGTCTCGTCTGCCATTTAATAATCTCGAAAATTCTGACGATTAGGAGAAGGTGTGCATACACGCGTGCACGAGGGACTGTCTGCGTGTACACGAACGTACGGAGTGGAGCCGTCCCGTCTATCCGACGCGATTCCCCGAGTGCCCTGCACTCAGTTCCTCTAATAACAATAATAATAAGAAGGGATGGAGGCCCGTTTTAATCAGAGGGTCTGCCTGCCTGACGTGATTAACTCGAAGAGCCCGGGGAAGACGAGAAGCGGAGGATGCGTGCCGAGGGAAAAAGGAGGGAGAGACACGAGGGGGTGGAGATGCCGCTGTCATTTTCGGTGTTTATCGTATCAACGAACGGGTAGGGGCCCTAGATTCGTCGCCTCGGGGCGGGAGGAGGGATGGGGTTAAATCTTGGATTTCACGGCCGATTTGTACCTCCTTCTTCGTTCTCTTCCGTCTCTTCTTTTCCAACGATCTCACCCTTCGTCCATTATTCAATCGTTCGAGCGTAGAAAATGTTCCGAGTGCCCTCCCTTTTATTTTCATCGTGGCCCGTTTTCCGGCGGAGAGACAGTAGGAGCATTGCGTAATGTTAATGTACAGCCGTTGGCTTTATCGACACGACCATAAATCGGCGCAGGCGCGAGGACGGCGAGAGTAATAAGGGAAAAAGCAGATAATTAAGTCCTGTCCGACGAGTAAATTATTTGCTGGAGACGTTCGATGTATACGCCGTGTCGGTGGTGCGTTCGATACGCGGATACGTCGACCGTTAAAAATATGTTCATTTTCGCTCGGTGATGTAAAATAGCCTCTGATCGTAAGTCACCCGATCAGAAGCACGTCGTTTGTATCGGTTCCGATTATTTATACGGGGTTCGATTTTATGCATTACCGAAAACAAAAATTTATATATTTGTCGTTATATTCTTCCGAGAGCGTTCGGTTTACTGTTAATCATTCGTTATCGTACTCGAGACGAAACTTTGCGCGCCATAAATATCGGAAGGATTCGATCTACGCGGACATCTTATAATCAGCGCGCGCGCGCGCGCGTCCATTGCTGGTGGCTCTTCCTTTTTAGAAACATCGATGGCAAAGATGAATGCCATTATGCGTGCTATTCTAAATTCCACGTCGGGAAAGAGCCTCCCCGATCGAGGGGAGAGGGATTTTACTTGGAAGACGTCGCTCTCTTCCTGGAATTAAAGTCATGTCTATGGGGTCCCGACATTGAGAACGTCTCCGCTATGTCTCTTCTCCCGACTTGCTGCTGCCTTACGTCGTACGCTTTACTTTGGACGTCTAATTAACAAGGTTTTCCTGAGGGTTTTCGAGGCATCTTGCTACCGACAAGCGACTTACGAAGCAGTAAATACGTTCGCGCTCCCTTCGGTATCGAGCCTGAATTTTTCGATAGAACACCTTTCGATATTTCTCTTCGTACGACTCCAAGGGAGAGAGATACGTTCGGTTTCGAAACCAGTTTCTTCCGAGTCAAAAGAATCCGTCGAGTCACCCCGCGGAGAAATTATATCGCCGTTCGATGACTTCTCGAGTAGTATCGCGCGTAGGAGTTCTCACTATTTTCCATTCGTGGGAACACTTCGTAATTGTACCTCGATTAGCTCGGTGCCAACATTGTCGCGGGTGCGAGAAGACGAACGCTTACAGGAAAAGCTAATACCAGAGGTTGGGTATCGATCGTTCCTCGCGAAGATGAAAATTGCGGAAGCAAACGGCGTAGACTCTTCGAGGACAGATAAGCGAAGGGGGATAGGAGGCTGGTTTG